CCCAGAACTGAGTGTCTGGTGGGTTGCAGCACAGTATGCACTTAGAAAAAATAGTATCACTATTATATATACATGTAATCTCTAATGTATATGTCTGTAATAATATGTATAGTATACATATAATGCATAATTTTTATATATAAAATCACTGTTATCATATAGGCCCCCACTTTTCCATGCAGCTTTGGTGGGACATGGTCAGAGCTTTGTGATCACTCTTGTAGCACAGTTTTAGAAAGAAATCCACAGTCCCTGGGTGCTGTGGGGAAAAAGCTTAAACTGCTCCAAGATCAGAAAAGACAGGAAACGCCTCATAAATTTCTATAAATCTTGTATTTTTTTTTTTACCTAGTCTCACATTCCTTGTGCTCTGATTGCCTGGGTTTGGCAGAGCTGAGATGAAGGCTTTTCCAAACCCCTTGGTCTCTATTACAGCAATTCCTCAAGTATTTTCCTGTCATATTGTTATGGCTTTGAGTAGTACCCTTTTGCATTCATTTTTGCAGCAGAAACAATCAGTTCAGATAGTTGTTTTCTGTAACAAGTTCTAGATATGAATCATCCTGTATTTATCTCAAAGCATGCAACAGAACACTGAAACTAAAAAAAAATGAAAGCTAAACAAACTGGATTGCCATGACAACACTGGTTGCCTACAGGAGGAACTGTGTTTTTCTGAGCATGCCAGAGATGAGGAGAATTGAAAAGAACACTTGAAACCCACTGAAATGTGGATTTCCATGTTCATTTTGCAAATAAAAAAATTGCTGCAATGCAAATGCTGTTACCTGGCCTGGGGGAAAACTGTTTGCCAGTTAAGAGGCAGAATCTTGCAGTCACCTCGCCAGTAATACCCTGATTTTCATGGGATTAACTGGGAGAGTGGGAGGCAGGCAGGAATTTTTCTCCTTTGGAATTCCAGCAGACACTAGAAGCAATATCAAGAAGATCATTAATTTAAAATGTAATTCGCTCAGTCAACTAATTAGAAGAAAATACTCTTGTTGCCATTTGCAGGTAGGCTGCTGAAATGTAATTAGCTCCTGGAGTGATTTCAGAATCTTCAAGTCTTTTCAAAATTTGCAAATTAGTTCCTTGAGGTGTTGGCTTTGGTAAGAGATTTCTTCCAAACTTTCTCCTGTGTTTAGCTTTCTACTTAGTCTTGTGATAGGACAGGCACATAGATGAGAAGGAATATCATATGCTTATGAGAGCCATAAATAAAAAGCAGCCCTGGATTGTCAGTAACTATTATTAACATCTTGTTATTTTTCTGTTCCTAGTACAGAATAGCGATAGTTTATAAATGCTTTATTTTATACAGCCATCCATCATATTCAAGGACAGGCTACCAATGCTGAAGGCATAACCAAACTTGTGCTTGACTCAGAGCCTGCTGAAGGCTTTGTTTGAGTACCTCCAAAAGTCAGGCAGTGCCTCCATGGATCTCGGTGTCATGACTGCTAATGTCACATGCACCATGTCTTGGTTTGGAAAGACAGGAATCTGCTAAGGAAAGCAGGAGCCTCCCCTGAAATGGAGAATGTAAACCCTCCCCACTCCTCTGAATTGCTATAAATTTCAAATTAAGGGGCTCTCAGGCAAAATTATGGCAGCAGGAATAACAGTTCTTTATTAGGGAAGAAAATAAAAGGATAAAAAAACCAATGCAGCACACTAGAACAACACTGGCAGAGTCAGAACCCAACCTGACACCCTGTGGGTCAGGGTGTTGGTGGCAGTCCCATTGGAATTGTGGCTGCAGCCCTCCTGAAGTGTCAGGTGTGGTTCTGCTGGAGCAACGGGGTCCTGTAGAGAAGGATGTATTCTTCCTCTGAAGATCCAGTGGAAGAAGAGGCAACTGCTGTTCCTCTGGGGAATCTCATGGAGAAAGTCGTGCTGGTGTCTCAGAACCTCTGGATTATATCTGGGTAGCAATGCTTGGCTCCTCCCTCTGGGCAGAGCATCTCACAGTGGGATGTTATAGTTCTTATCAGTCATGCAGTGACATTCAATAGCCTGTTATCAGCAATGTCCCCTCCTGAGGGAGGAGCGATTGTGGTCACTCAAAGAGAGAGATAAGGCAAACTGCCCACTTGACAAAGGTAATCTGCCATACAGATGGTAATGGAAAACAACTTGCATTGCAATCCGGAACACACCATCAGAGAGGGAGCTCTGGCTCTGCCAGGAGAGGTGGCCAGGGGTTCTCCAGGAGGGTGTCTGCAGAGGCCAACCAGCTGACTGTACACTGGTGGTGATGATTGTCGCAGGCTTTAAAATGTTTTACTGCTGTTGGAAGACAGTATTTAAAGGGTAATTATTGCCATGGTGGAATGGAGCAATGGTTCTCCTTTGGGAGCTGCCTCTGGCACCAAGCAGTGCTCATGGTTCCCTAGGAGGACTGAAACCTCCCAAACACTTGGAAATAGACACTTGTTTACAAACCTGTCCTCGTCAGTCAGTGGCCTGGAGTTGTATTCCCATCTTCAACAGCAGCCTGTCCTACCTTTCCAGTAGCAATGCATGAACGCACACTGATCTGGCTACTCTGAATGCCTCTGAAATTGAGTGGACTCAATTTCTTATGGCAGCAAACTGTTTATTTATTCTGTGCTGTGTAAGGATCTATCAGCTCCTGCCTTATCAGTGAAGATGCAGAAAAGCAGCTAGTCTGCCCTTAACTGCAGTGCTGCAAAGATCCCAAATGTTATCTTGCTCCTTCCTACCCAGCAGCCCAGTCTGAGGAAGCAGGGGAGGGTTTTCTGGTGTGTGGTTTGCATACAAACTTATGAATATTGTGATGCCTGTTGAAAATGTTAATATATGCCAGGGCATAAAAGGACACTCCCTCCAAAAACTGGGCTCTCCTAAAGCATCAAAACTAACTCAGTGCTTCTGGAAATCCTGTCAAATGTACATACTTGTAGTAGCAATATCATATGCCATGACACTATCCAGATTCATCAAAATAGACATGTTTTTGTTTTAACAATAAAGCCAGAAATGGATCTCAGTTTGGCTTTGAAGTAAGTAGCTGTAAATAAATTCTGGCAGCCTTTTCTGAGCTGATGTGCTGAGGGTGATGGAGAAGTGTGTTTTATTGTGGCTGAGCAGAGGTGGGTCAGAATGTCACGAGTGAGTGCCTTGGTGTGATTAACTCTCAGAGGATTTTGTGTTGCTGTGTTTCTCTGTAATGTGTGCCAGAAGGGTTGGTGACTAGAAAACACATTTGTTTCTTTAGAAAGAGTGAACAATCAAAATTTTAAGAATTGTTTGAGCTAAATTAGGTTATGTTTTTGAGGGATGCTCTCTTAAATAGGAACTGGCTTTTTAATCACTGCCTCTGTTAAGAGAAGATTGATTTTCTTTCTTTCCCTTTTGTTTAGTACCTCAGGGTGGGGAGGTGAGGAAAGTGCAGGGGATGGAAGAGAAGTGTATCAAATGGCTGAAAACCTTAAAAATGTGGGAATATTCCACTTTCCAGAATTGGGAGTTCAGAAGAATCTGTGGGAAAATGAGAATGTGCCTCTGAGACTGTTTACAATGACACATTCCAGCTCAGTAAGCCTCCTTGCTTTTGGGTCACTGTGCTGCTGGAGACATTTGTTTTTGGATGAGAAGAGAAACTGATACCCTCACTTTGTAGTTATTTAAGTATGTTTTCACAGAATTTCAGGGCCCAACACCCATCTGGGAACTTCCTGCCTGGAGTCACACTTAGCTTCAGTGTCCTACCATTGTGCCACAAATCTGATGTTGTAAGTGCTTTTTGTAAGGGGCTGCATTTTGACCACAAAGGGCCATGTTTGTAAGTGGCAAGTGAGACAATCCTCTGTCTACATGCCTTGACATTTCTGCCATCCTTTGTTACCATTTTAATAAACCTGCAAGGTACCATGGCAACTGGGTGTGATAACAGCTGCTGAAGCACGCTCAGATGGAAGAAATCCTGTGCAGGATGGAATGTAATTTTTTCCTTTTTTTGAGTATTTGCCATTTTTGGTGCTGTGTACAATTTGGACTATTCCATTTGCAAGCAAAGGATGGGTTTGTCTCTTTGAAGGCTGTCACAATTTTACTTGGTTGACTTCACAATTATTGGAATAATCAATCTGCAGTCTCTTGTACTTAAAACTATTTCAACTTTAGATGGACTTTTTGGCAAGTAGATGCCAGGAAGCAAAAGCCTGGGGCAGAGAGGGATGTTAGTTTGATTTTTTTTTTTTCTTGTTTTCTTTAACCCAGTGGCACACATGCTGTTCTTTTTTAGTCCTTTGAAAGCCCTGCATACTTCCCAGAGGGGAGCACTCTCCCCATTTCCATTCTCCATTAATTTCCTCTCTATTGAGAATAACAATTATTGAAGATTACAACAATTTGAAATCCCTACTTACCCATCAGTACTGTGGCACATCTCATGCAATCTGGCCCCAGCCCTTAAGAGACTGTGATGGGATCAGCTAAGAATCACTCTGCCCCTCCTTTCTTCTGTATTTTCTCCCTGTTCCTTGATTTGCAAAGAGAAAATGGTCTGACTTTAATTGCTCCATGTTGTGCAGATAAAAGAAATTCTAAATTGTAAGTTAAACACAGCTAAAGGGATATTTTGTATTGCAGCAGTGATGCAGTGAAGTGTGTAAAAGTTCAATATATTATGTATGTACCTGTGTAGTTATTCATTTATTGTTTAAACTGGCAGAAAGTCACTTCAAAAATCTAATATTCAAATAGGAGTTGAAGTTCTGTTAGTTTTCCAAAGTGCATAGAAACATGTAAATATTGCTCATCTTTTTTCTTCAAATGACCTGTTTAAGTGCCCCTCACCTATGGTAGGTCTTTGTTTGCAGAGAGGTGTGGTGCTGCCTGTTGGTGCAGTAATGTTGATTAGTTTTTTTTGTTGTTTCCTCCCCCTGTGTGCTATGTGGTAAATGCCAAAGGAGGATGTTTCCTGTGCTGGCAGTCATTCCTTGTATTACATGACCTGTTTTCCTTTGCAGGTTTTTAACTTATTCCTACCTTGTGGCCTTCAACGCGTGGCTGCTGCTGGCACCGATCACCCTGTGCTACGACTGGCAGGTGGGCAGCATCCCTTTGGTGGAGTCCATCTGGGATGTCAGGAACTTGGCCACGCTGTTCCTGCTGCTGGTGATGACATTGCTCAGCCTACACTGCATTGCTGCATTCAAGGTAACACCAAAAGCCATGCAATACAACCTAAAAAAGATAAATAAAAGTCTTTCATTGCCTAGTCTTCAGATGAGATGGTTGGTAAGCACATGTTTTCCTCTGGAATGCACTGGAGTGAGGTGAAAAATCATTCCAGTAATAACTAAAGCAGGCAAGCTCAACTGATGAAAATGTCTCTCTAGCTGAATGTCTCAGTCTTTAATTGGTCTGATTTGAGGGCAGAACTTGGCCTAGACTCCTGCATTCAATTATTGTTAATGATCCAAACCCCACTGAAGTTTTTAAGCATCTCTGCCTCTCCCATAATCATTAGGCTTTTTGTCACTCACTTCAAACAGGAGTGGGAACTGTCATTTGCAGAGCCTTTTGAAAATAAAATCAATTCTTCTATTTGCACTTTTGCTATGCTTCTAAAACCTAAACATTGCATACATCTTGATGAGATTTTTTTTTTGTCAGCAGAGTAATGGAATGTGGGAAATCGGAAATGACCTGGAAATTGTTCTTTAGCGTAAATAATACAGTTGGTAAGCCATACTTCCCAATTCAGCATTTCAGAGGTACTATTAATCATATTGCAGAAGTGAAAGTGAGGTTGTAGAAGCCTTGTCAGATATGCACTTCCATGGAAGTGTCTTTTTTGTGGATCATAGGGAGTTACAAGCTGTTTCTCTTTCAGTTGAGTTGTGGTAGCTTCTTTAGGAGAGGTGTCAGTAGTCACTTTGGAAATAGTACAAAAGTTTCTCTTCCTTAAACGTGTGTATGGCTGAAGAGCATAGTTGAAGGGTGTCAGGTTTTTAACACCTGTTATGCTAAAATGTGCAGGTCATGTACATTTTCAGTCTACCCTGGCAGTCTTCCCTGTGCTCCTGATAAGAAACAGAAAATGAACCAAAACAGTTTGAGACTGCAGAGCTATTAATTTAGATAATACATTCACAGATGCTGTATGGCAAATATGGGAAAACACCCTATTAGGTATTCACCAGTTCTACCTGCAGGTTGTACATCATCTCATGTTCATCCTGCCTTCATTACTCACTGCTAGAAATATTCAGAACTGTTTGTATTAGCTCTAATCCTGTTCTCAAGAAAGTTAATGATAAAATTCTCATTAGCCCAGGATTGCAAACTTCTGAAAAATCTTATTCCATGTTCATTGAAGTTTTATTTGCTTTTTATTTCTTCTCCTGCTGTCAGAACTATATGTAGGATTAATATTGTTGGTTTTCTTGAAAAAGATTTCATCATATTTTTATTACTTTTAAGAAAAGAACAATTCACTCTGGATTTATGAATGCCACTGTTTAATTTGAAACTGCAAATTGTAATTTTTTTGTGAGAAGTTCAGTTTTGCTCTTGACCACTGTTAATGTTCAACAACATGAATTTTGCTCTTTGGGCACTGAAACTTGGGCACTGAATTTGGGCTTTGAAATCCATCTTAAATATTCCTTTGTGTTTAGCTTTGAAAACCCCAAACACTGGATGAATTGGATCTGAAGTGATCTAATCCAGTAAAACTAGAGCCGTCCTGACCAAGTGCTCTCATGAGCACTTGCAGCCTCCAGCAAACCTGCTGTGAGCATGGAGCTGGTGATGGTTCCTGGGGATCACCTTGGATGTGTTTCCCTCAGCCCTTGGTACAGAGTCACAGAAGGGTTTGGCTGGAAGGGACCTCAAAAACCATCCAGTTCCAACCTCCCTGCCATGGGCAGGGACACCTCTCACCAGACCAGGTGGCTCAGAGCCCCATCCAACCTGGCCTTGAGCACTTGGAGGGATGGCACATATGTACATACGTAGTTAGAAGTATAATTGGAAATATTTTGCTTTTCAGGAAATTCTATGTTTCTGACGCTATTTTCTGTTTTGTTTTTAACAACTCCCACAATCTCTGAATTGTGGTACTGCCATTCAGTGGTATGAAGATAGTTGTGTTGGGCTGAGTGGTATGAATTACCCAGGAAGGCAAACAGGAAGCAGCAGTTTTCCTAGAAATAAATGATGCATTTGACTTCAAACAATGCCTTTTATAACAAGGAGAGGGGAGTTCAGGGCGCATGAACTGCAGGCACAATTCATTGTATTGGGTCTTAGGAAAGCATCTTTCCAAATGCAGCAGCAGTGGCCTTTTATAGGGCATTGCTTCCCCCAGGAAGGGCCATCCTTCAGTCCAGCCCCAGACAAGCTATTACTCAGTGCTTTACAGCTTCGAGGCAGCACAAGATATATCAGTTGATTTCTCACATTTGGTAAAGTGTAAGATGTTCTGCTTTCTTTTGGAAGCACACAGAACAGCCTTAGCAGCCATTTCTCTCTCCTTTTTCATTGCAAGGTCTCACCTGGAAGAGGTAGCTTGCAATTTCCTGAGGAATGATTGTAGAGTGAAAAGGCATGCAGTCTGTGTGCCTCTCTCTTTAGAGTGTAGGTGTACAGGGGTAAGAGAGAATGAAACCTCATATTCATTCTCAGTGGCACCATTGCTTTCCTTTCTGCTGCACAGAGAATGGAAATGGTGGAAATTATTTTGGCAGCAGTGAAGACATTGGTCCAGTGAACACTGAACTGATTTTCAGTGGCAAGAGGTGATGTGTGTGCATCCACAACACAGACTCACAGGAGACTCACAGAATGTTTTGTGTGGACTGTAACTGGAGAATGCCTGGATTGGATTTCTGCCTTTGTTGTCATTGAATTTTAACCAGGGCTATTTTGTTGACGTTTGTGATTAGGGTAATAACTCTGTTGGGCATGTGTGTGTGGTGCTGATAAAGGACATCTAAGGCTCAAAGCTTTCTTGTTTCATTTTGTGAGTGTTGCTATACTTCAGAAAGAGAAGGAACAGTGGAAGATTTCTACCCTTGGGTGCTTTCCTTGGGACATGTCTGTTACTAGGTGGTGATTTAGTGATGGAAACTGCAGAAATAAGAGAAGGCAACTCTCCAGTTTGTTTGGAGAGAGAAGCCTCCCTTCTCATCCTGCTTGTGCACCTTCACTGTTGTCTTCCTCTTTACTTAATGAGGAGGTCACTTTAAAAATTGGCTTTGTTAACTGGGTATAACTTCCATTCTCTGGGTTGTTTCTCCTGTGTAGTGTAAATCCTTCTCACCTACCAGCTGGAGAGCTCCCTGCGAGCAACTCCCCAAGCAGGACTTGTTCTGCTCAACTCTTGGCAGTGAATGTCCTCACACAGGCTTCAAGCAGTGCTGGGGCTGTGGCAAAGGCTGGGGGTGCTATTCAAAATGCCTGCACCCTGGAGAGATTTTAATAGTTGGGAAAAGAGGATGGCATTTATTTATTGTTCATTGTCAAAGATAGCCTTGGCTATGAGGAATGGATGTGGTGTGACTTCCAGATGGATTACAGAGGTGCCAGGAAATGGCTGAGGCATTCTCTCAGTGGATGTTGAGCATGCCAGTCACAAGGTCAGAGAAATAATCTGGTGCTTCAGAAAGCCGCTGGGGTAGCCAGGGGCCCATGGCACTGCCTCTCTTTGCTGGAAGATGCAGGGAGCACCTGGTGAACTGGAGGGAGGACAGTTCTTGGCATTATCATCAGGATGACAGTTATTTCTCTGACATGTCATAATAATTCAATGAGCATGAAAGGAAGACCCTTCAGATGTTTGAAGCTCCACTCTGCATGGCATTTTTAGGTCGCTGCCTAATTAGCAGCTTGTCCCACAGTTTTAGCTGTGAATGTGTGTGTGCAGAGCACGTGATGGATGGGATTCCATTTCCCTGTGGTACCTGACATATGGAGGGCTGATAGTGGGAAAACTCGTGTGTGTAATGGGCTAATTCAGAGGGGTGATCTGGAAAACTGACTGGAAGCATGGCTTTTGCACCTGGGCAATCTGGGGGAGTGTGGGAGTGTATTGCACCTCATACTGACAGCCCTCACACATTTGTACCCGTGACCAGCATTGTAAAGGTGCCTTCTGGTAGCTCACAGCACCTTCTGCTCCTTCAGCAGGAGCACACAATGATGTGCAGCAGTTTGCTCGTGTCCGAGGAGGGAATGCTACTGACATTTCACATCAATTAAAAAAAATATACTATGATATATATATATATATATATATATATATATATATAAAACTTTTTTAGAGAACGTGCTTGGCTGTTCTGTGTGATGTGACTACATATGGTACAGGAAATTGTGATGGTTTTCAGGTTATATTCATGGCATGTGACTGACATATGTATTATCCTGATCTCTCATATGCTACAGTTGGTTGTTTTTTATTTGAGAGCTAATTTTAAAGGTGATGCTTCCTCTTTGAATTTCCCTGCATGGTGCTTCTTAGCCAAGACAAGGCATTTTATACCATATTGTGATGACTTTATTTCGTGCTGTAATTGGCATCATATTGCCATTTATCTGGTGGATTATATGTGTGGATAGCATCTGAGCATATTCTTCAGTGACTTTCAGACTAAATTTCTTGGCTGACAACGTTCAGTACTATCCAGGAGAGGAATGCATTTGCATCTTCTCTTTGTGTGCATGTTTCTGTTGTTTTTGCTAGCACTCATTATGTGTACTTTGTCATGCTATTTACTTTACCCTGCACTCATGAGACCTTTGCCTCGTTTCCCAGGTTTGGCATTTCATTAATAAATCACAGCTTATGGACCTTTCTGGGGAACAATTGCCTTTTCTAATATTCTACAGCAGTACCAGCATAGTTAGAAAGTATGCCTAGCAAAATTTATATGCCACAACACTTCCAGAACAATACCTGCTTCAAAGGCACAGCAAGGTGAATAAGGCTATTTATTGATGGAGTCTATCTGACGAGCTGGAAACCAGAGTCATTTCCATAAAAGGTCCATTTAAAATAAATCCTGCTTTCATTTTCCTGAGGGCCACTTGAATTCCTTCCACACAGAGAGAAGGTCAGGACTGATGTTCTTAATCCTTTTGCAGCGAGTTTTTTCCTGTGCTGCTTCTGTTGTTAATATTTGCTGCGGGGAGAGAGCAATAAGCCAGAA